GGCTGTGGGATGTCCCGTACGGACTGTGGCTGTTGGGGGACCCAGATCCCCAGTTGGGATCGGGGAGGAAAGGGGATGATTTATGGCCGGGGCAGCTGGGGGATCTCCAGCCCTCGTGTGGGTGCTGCTGAGGGGTGTAAGTCTCCTACCCCAGGGTGCTGGAGAGGAGCTCTGCGAGTGCCCCCCAAAACGCAGCTCCCTGTACTTGCTTCTATGCTCCAGCTCACCCAAAAAACCAGGTAGGGGCTGGATTGAGCCCCTTCCTACAGAGACCACCCTGGGGTGATCCTGGCCCTCGCAGTGAGGATGAGGACAGTGTTCCTGAGGCCTGCCTGGACCTGCCAGGCCGGCTCATCCTGGTGCGACGGGGCAGACACATGGTTGTTTCACTGTGTGACCAGGCTCCAGCTGGTCCCCGAGGTCATCAGGTGGAGAAACCGAAGCACAGAATCCCCCCATGGGAGTAAAGCCGAGCCGGTGGAGGTCACACGGAGCTCCCAGCCAGCTCACAAGACCTGTGTGTGGCCCCTCAAAGCCTCTTGCGAAACATGGACCCGAGCTCAAACACAGACCCGAGCTGACTCATGCTGAAATCTTGCTGGCCTGGTTGAAAAGCCCCTGAAATTGTCCTGGCCTTTGCTGAGCCCAGTTTTCCCCCGGCTCAGCAGGGCTGTGGTACAGCTGCTGCTCGGCATCAGCAAAAAAGCAGCCAGAGGGGAACTGGGTGCCCTTGTGTCTGCTTTGGGGTGTTGAGGAGCTGATGTCCCCTCCTGATACAGGTGGTCCCTTAAAAGGGGAATTCTAACCAGAACAGTCCGTGGGGACCTATGCCACCATCTCTATTGCCATCTGTGCAGCTGAGAATACCCAAAAGAGGGTGTTTGTGCCCCAAAAGTGTGTCTAGGGGTATGACCTGCTGCTCCCCAGCCTGTATTCTGACATCTTTTATGGACCCTTGAAGGCTTGGGGAGTAAAGGACATACAGAGGGAGAAGGGAAGTGGTTGAGGTGACCCCACACCATGCTGTCCTGATCTCCTTGGCTGCCTCCAACCATGGGGACACCGGATCACTGGGCTGTGCAACACAGCGGTGTCCCTTTCCCTGCCTGTCACTCAGGGCTGGGAGCCAAGCCAGGAGCTGCAGGCAGGTTGGGGCAGCCACCGCAGAGTCTCCTTCTCCATGGATGTCCTATCCCCAGAGCTGTCACCTCAGGGGGGAGCTGGTGGCCCAGAGGACAGCCATGGACTGGCTCTCTGGGTGTCCTCCAGCTCCCCACGACCTCCTGCTCTCACCACCACCCTCCTCTGCCTCCTAGGTGGGCTGATAACTTCAGTGCTGCCGGCTGTGGTGGGACGGCAGAGCACGGCTTCCAGCACCCCTTCCTGCAGGTGAGCCCCCCCACCCCACCCACC